GAGGGTCAGAGAGAGAGAGGGAGATACAGACTCTGAAACAGGCTCCAGGCTCTGAGCTGGCAGTCAGCACAGAGCCCGACGCGGGCCTCGAACCCACGAACCGCGAGATCATGACCCAAGCGAAAGTTGGACGCTTAACGACTAAGCCACCCAGGCGCCCCTGAAACAAGATATTCCTAAATACACCTTCCTAACCTCAGAAGTATTTTTGTAGCTTTTTAAGAACATTTGTTGATTTCTACATTTTATTCTAGTTATTTGTACACTGTAATACACCTCTATCCTGAACTACATCTTTTTCTTTTGCACTGCCCCCTCTGTATGCACACAGCACAGGATTTGATTCTAAAGTGTTCTCAATTTCTTTTTTTTTTAAATGTTTATTTATTTTTGAAAGAGAGAGAAGGAGACAATGTGTAAGTGGGGGAGGGGCAGAGAGAGAGGGAGATACAGAATCTGAAGCAGCTCCAGGCTCCGAGCTGTCAGCACAGAGCCTGACGTGGGGCTCGAACCCATGAACTGCAAGATCATGACCTGAGCCAAAGTTGGACGCTCAACCGACTGAGCCACCCGGGCGCCCCAGTTCTCAATTCCCACGAAACGAAAGAATAAAAGAATAAATGTTTGCTTGATAGATGCGTCACTTCTCTGTTCGTTCTGTGAGGTGTTTGGGGACTCTTTCCGCTATTTTGTAAAGACTCCAGAAAAGTGATAGAATGTCAAGGAAGAAAGAGGATCTGCCACCTGCAAACCTCCTGAGTATTTACTCTGACGGTAAGTGCCTGTGGCACCGGGTGTGCGCTGATTAAACCCAGTGTGATATACACAGAGTCTGTGGATCTGGCTGGAGTTTCCAGACCAAGCTCAGGAGCGGCGGCTCAGAGCTGTGCACCCAGAGGCCGCTGCACACAGCTGGCGTTTGGTCCCGGAGGCGAGCCTGTGACAGGTCCCTGCGTCCCCAGCACTGCCTTCTTCCCTGCATCCCCCCCCTCCCCCACACACACACACATCCTGCTGGCAGCAACGCTGGTCGCGACTGACCTGAAAGTTGGTGACATTATACATCTGGGGGTGGAGGCGCAGGGTTCTGTGGGAGAAAACAGCAGCCTTAGTGTTTAGCCAGGTAGAAGGATTAACTGCTATCCCACCACCGGGGAGAAGAAATAAAACAGATGATTCAGTACCTCTGAGCAGATTAAAACTAATAATTATCAGAGGGCACAGAGCGATGGAAGAGAGTTAAAGATTGTAGCGGCTTGGCACGGCACATGCGTGTTTCTTTCCATCAGTACAAACAGCAGGTACCACTCCCAGACGGAAATCTTCCCGGGGCCCCAGGGGGGACGAAGACCCCTCCTCTGGCCACTCTCCCCCGGGGGGCGCTCGCAGCTCCCCTCTCTCCCGCGGGGGCCGGGTCGCCAGAGCCCCCTCATTAGTTCTTCGTGCCTGAAACCAGACTTGTGCATGTCCTGGGGCTGCCCTGGCCACAGGCTGGGCACCTGGAACAGAAAGAAGCCGAGTGTCTCACAGGTCAGGAGGCGTTGACCTGACCTCAGGATGGGGACAGGCCGGGTTCCTTCTCAGGTGCTCAGGAAGAGCAAGTCCCCTGTCTTGGTGCTGGTGGCCGGCGGTCCTGGCGCTCCCTGGCTTAGAGCTGCACCCCCAGTCTCTGCCTCGCGGGCACAGGGCACCCCCTCTGGTGTCCGTGACACCCGTCATTGGGTTACAGCCCATCCTAACCGAATGTGACCTCGTCTTCGCTAATTACATCAGCAAAGACCCTGCTGACAAATAAGGCAGCATTCACAGGTGCCGAGGGTTTGGACTGGAGCATGTGTTTTGGGGGAGACACAATTTGACCCACAACGGGCTTTAGAGTTGACGATCTGGATGGAAACTTCCGACTCTCTTTCTGATCCCATGAGGCTAAATGGGTTATATTCTCTCCCTTGTTGTCTGCCGGGCACTCTCAGGCGATGGGGGAGCTGGAATGGCGGGGTGGCATCCTCTCTGCAGCACCCCCCCAAGCTGCCAGACTACTGAGCAGCTGTTGGCCGAGGGCCACCCGGTCGGGGCTGGCACTTCCCATCCCTCACTGGGTCCGGTGGTGGGTACCGCACCCCCTCCCTGCACATCAGTAATAAAGGTGTTACAGGAAACAGACCCTAACCCTGGCCTCCACGGCCCCTCAGGAAACCCCATGCCCTTCCCCCCACGGCTCCTGCCTCCCATCTGAGTGTGCAGCTGAATGCCATGTATCCTTTGTTTCTGATATGTGAGTTCATTTCCGGTACATGAGACTCTTCTCATCCAGGCTGGTTCAGACCATTTGGCAAGAATAATTTCACAAGCCTGGTATTAGACGCCGCACAAAAGTCTAAATACATAATGCATTTTGTAATTCTGTCACACTCAAAACAAGCTGTCAAAACTGTCTGCATGACTTATCCTTAATAAATCCCTAGGCCTGTTAATTGCTCCTCATTCCGCTGCATAAGGGTGGTTGGAATCCGCAAATCGGGTAAAGAATGGAGGGATAATGGGAAGCATTTAGAGGATTGCCGCTGCCTTTCCCCCGGGACAAAAGCGGCGAGGGCCTCGGTGGGCACCATGCCGCCCGCGCCTTTCCTGCGCTGCAGCTTCGAGTCAGGCGGTTTTCGAACATTCTTTCCGTGGAACCGTCAGGGTAAGTGAGGACCTGATGGCCTTTGAGAAAGATCACCAGAATGGGAGACTGAGTTCTGCTAGACAGTGACTTTGGGGGCACGGGTTTGGTGCTAGAGGTGCCAGACCTGCCGCCCGGGGGTGTGCAGGGCAATAGAGACACATGCACATGGCGCTCGGGAGGACAGCAGAGAACCCGGAACATTCCAAGAAGGCCGGGAAGCGGTCACTCCCTGTGGCCCCCGGAACTCAGAAGGACTTCAGCATCAGATAGCCCTGCCTGTCTCCTGGCTTCAGCGAATAGACCAGTTTGTGACCTCGGGCCAGAGCCCTCCCTCTGGGCGCAGCGTTGGCTCTGCTGTGGCGCACGGGGCCGCCGGCCCGGATGGGCGGACAGGAGGGGACTGAGGACGCTGCCATCACGCGCCTGGGTAGAACGGGCTTTCCTCTCCATTCGGGGCAATGCGGCTTGCTCACTGTGTGCGTGCGCGCATGAGTGTGTGTGTGTAAGCACACACACGTGCGTGTATGTGAGCACACGTGTGCGTTAGCACATGCACACATTCGGGTGAGCACATGTGTGTCTAAGCACAAGTTTGCGTGTGAGCATACATGTATGTACAGGTGTGTGCATGTGTGAGCACACGTGTGCACAGGGTGAGAACACACAGGTGTGCGTGGGTGTGTGCACACGAGCACACATGTGCATGTCTAAGCACACAAATGTATGGCTGAGTACACACACGTGTGTGAGCACATGTGCATGTGTCTGTGTGTGCACACGTATATGCATAGGTGTGCACATGTGAGCATATAAGAACACACATGCATGCAGGTGGGCGCACATGTGTGCACGTGAGCACATATGCATGTGTAAGTATACACGTGTGTGAGTGGGTACACACGTGTGTGCACGTGCATGCATGTGAGCACACACTGTGTGAAACCTATTTAGAAGAGCTATTGCTGCCTCCTGCGGGGGACGAAGGCCGGCGGCGTGCAGGGAAGGGCGGACGGAGTCAGGCAGGCGGCGGGGTCGGGAGCACACCCCGTGGGCGGGGGGCCGGGGGACGGCGGGAGCACGGCCACCAGGGCAGACAGGCTGGGGCCACACAGCAGGGCCAGCAAGTGGCATCTGGAAAGAGCCCGACAGTGAATACTTCAGGACCTGTGGGCCCTGTGGCCACGACTCACCTCTGCCAGTGCAGCCGGACGGCAGCCACGGACGGGGGTGTGTGGATGGACGTGGCCTCCTTCCATGAAGCTTTACTGTGGACGCTGGAATTTGAATTTCCTATCTTTTTCATGCATCAAAAAATGCTATTCTTTTGATATACATTTTTTAGGCCTGTGAGCCTCTTAATGCAAGAGCCGGTCTTGGCTCACAGGCCGTGTGCAAACGGGTGGCCTGGGGATCCCCCCAGACCCAAGGGGGGGCTCCTCCCAAGGCCGATGTGGTCCCCGTGTGACCTCAGGCGCAGGCCAGACCGCCAGCGCTGGAGGATGAGGGCCGCCTTGATTCTGTTCACTGTGGCCTCCTCACGTCTTGCACAACCTGGCCTGAAGTGGCCGTTCAACAAAGTGGCCTTTCACTGAGGAGGGTGTGACTCGGCGAGACGCTCTAGGCAGCCGTTTCCTCGTCCAGCGTCTCTGGGTCTCCTGCCGGCGAGGCACCTTGCCCGCTGGGAGCGAGGCTTGCTCTCCTGGCCGTCAGCCTGCGGCACAGCACTCAGAGACTGGAGCCCGGCCCATGCCCTTGGCCTCTGCAGTCAGAGGCCCACCTGTGAGCCCCCTGTGAGGCGGGGGCACCCACGACCAGGGGCTCAGGCTCCAGGAAGAATGGCGGACCCCATCTCTTCTCTCCAGGAACTTCAGGGGAGTCTCTCATACCCTCAGTTTAGACGCGTGACCTTTCAGGACCCCCGGAGGGGCTCAGTCGGTTGAGCATCCAACTCAGCTCAGGTCACAATCTCACAGTTCGTGGGTTCGAGCCCTGCGTCAGGCTCTGTGCTGGCAGCGCAGAGCCTGCAGCCTGCTTCCGATTCTGTCTCCTCGCTCTCTGCCCCTCCCCCCACTCACATTCTGTCTGTCTCTCTCAAACACAACTAAACATTTAAAAACAATTTTTTTTAAATCTCATGCTTGTTTTAAAAATACAGAAATGTAACCTTCTTCTAAGATCTGGGTACTAACTAGCAGAAAGATAACATTTATCCAAATCCAGGGAGAATCAGGAAGGAAGGAACAGACTTCATATTATCTCTAGGGATTAATAATTTTTAAGTAGTGAAAAAACAATTCCGTTCCCATGGAGCAAAAGCCTCTCAGATCTATCGATGTCAGAAACCGTTGGTGGAGGCCACCGTGGCCGTGAGCACCGTGAAGCCGTGTGGACGCTGGTGGTCACTGCCGGGAGGACACTGGGAGCCGCCTCGAGTGTGGGTCTGTGCCTCCTGCCGCCGGGGTGGATCTGGGCTCTGGGCCCCCCTCCATCTGCTCTCAGGCTGGAGTGAAGACGGGAGACCAAGGCCCAGGGTGTCTGCGAATCCTCGGGACACGGGTGGCCCGTGGCCCTGTCTCAGTGATTTGGTTCGGAGTTTATTTTTAGAGCCGTCTTTCTGTGCTCAGCCTGGCTAGGTTCTGGGTGCTGACAGACAGACAGCCTCCTTGAGAACAAAACACGTGGAAACGTGTACCAAGAATGACTTCGTTTCCCCACATTTAGGACCACGTCCTGAGGAAAGAATCTGGACGCACGGAGCAGAGTCATTTGTCACGTTTTAAATGTTGGTGGTTCCCTAAGTGTCCCCAAGTCAAGGGGCTGTAAGTTCTCACGGGACACTCTGCCACCACCCAGCGTGGACACGAGACCGTGGCGCCAGAGGGCGGGCTACAGCCGGGGCAGCTGCGCGCTGGGGGGTCACGTGGGAGCCCCGTTGAGCGAGTAAAAGGAGCACTTTGTTGCAGGCCTAGCTTGTGAGCACCTTGACTTAGGAAGAAGCCTCGGGGATCACCAGAGGGGGAAGACAAGCCACGCCCAGCGAAAGCACTGTCTTTAACAAGAACAAAGTTGATTCACGAGTCGTCTCGTTCTCTCCGCCACAGACGCTGGGTTTGCTCTCACACGTTCGCACCCGTTCTCTCCAGGCCAGAGGCGACGGCAGAGAACCGGACTCCGAGATCGCTAGACAGCAAAGCCTCGCAGGCCTCTCCCCCTCTGGCCCCGAGGCCGGGCTGTGTCCCCGGACACCTGGAGGGTTTCCTCATGACCCCCTGGCTTTGCGTCTCGGCTGCAGCACAAGCGGTCACCTCCCCCTGAATGGCTGGTGGAGCCCGGGCGTCTCTGCGACGGGGAACTCTCTGAGTCGGGAGGGGACGCAGCACCCTCGTTTCCCAGCCACTGGACCTGGACGACGCGGATTTGGTGGCACCAGAGGAGACGCCACTTTTCCACCTGCCACCAACGTCCGGGCACCCCAGGCCTGCGTGAGGACATGCTTTCCAGCTTCCGGCCCCGAGAGCAGAGCTGAGCTTGCACACCACTCATCTGCCGGGCAGACGGCAAATGCAGGGGAGCAGAAGCGTGCATGCCTCGTGAGCTCGGGGAGTGAGCTCGGCAGGGGCTCAGAGGCCGTCGGGCGCTGTGACGTAACGGGAGATGCCCCTCGTGACAGGTGCCAGGGAACCGCCGGATACGCTCTATCGCCCTCTGCTCCTCTCGGTCTCTTGGTGAGAGAGCTCGGGCCTGGAGGCCTGTTTTCTGATCAGCAGTACGATGCCTCGCCACACCCCGCCCCCGCCAGGAAAATGGGCGCATTTGGCTCTCCCAGAGGTGCTGTCCGTGTGCTACTTGGGCCTGCGGACGGAGTCACCTTTGACAGAGCATCGTGCCTTGTAGTCAGAGCTCTCCGCCCACGGCCCTCCCTCCAGTCTCCGTGGGCTGGCTTTCCCTACACCCAGCTCTGGAAGTTCTCTACACGCTTGTCTCCACCGCCAACGCCATGCTCAGGACTGTAAGCCGCGCGGCCCGAACTTCCCTGAGCACGCAGGCCCTGAATGCCTCCACGGGCAGAGCAGGACCCAGCAGGTTCGGGTGGGACCAGGGCCCCGGGACCACGCCTTGAGTGCCAAGGGTCCAGATGCCTACCCTGGCGGCCCTCAGATTCTGAGCAGACAGGAAGGGGAAGGGGAGCGACCAGAACGTCACCGAGCTCCACACGGATGGGGAGGTCGCGATCTGTCCTTCTTCTCCACACGTGGAGGACTCGGCTCCCCTCCCTCTGGCCCATCGGTAAGGGGAGCATCGAAATCGGTCCGTAAGCTGGCGTCCCTTTCCAGACGGCTAGGAACTCAAACGGCACCCGTCGAGGGGAAAGTAATCATAGCGCTTTATGTCTATTTGTTGGACTCTGGAAGGATCTTACCATCAGTCACTTGACCTGATCAGATACACCACCGGGGTGTTATTTTCATCGCAGTCTTACAGGCCAGGACCCTGGAAGAACGGAGGACGGCGGGTGGCCGGGGCACAGAATGGAGGTGTTTGGGGGCTCCCCCCACTCAGCGTGGTGGCGTGACGGGCGGTGCTGGGGGCGCACCTCGTGCTGTGCGGGGCCTCCCCGCGGCAGTCAGCCCGTCGAGCTCTCTGCGAATCTTGATGGGCTTGGGCTGCACCGGCAGGGCCCCGGGGTGTGGACCTCAGGGTCTGTGACTGTGCTTGTAGGTCAGGCTGCCGCCACAGGGTTCCCAAGACGGGGCGGGGTCGCTGAGTGTGTCACAGCTCTAAGGCCGGAAGCCCAAGGCCGAGGCGTGGGCAGGCCCGGCTCCTCCCACGGCCTCTCTCCCCACTGTGTGGACAGCCGTCTCATGTCCTGTGTGTCTGTGTTCCGACTTCTTATAGGGGCACCGGTCACACTGGATGGGGGCCCCCCTAGGGACCTCATTTTACCTTCACGACCTCTGTGAAAGTCCTGTCTCCAAATAAGGCCACATTCTGGGGTCCTGAGGGTCAGGGCTTCAACGTAGGAATTTGGGGGACACAACTCAGCGCCAAAGCGTGCCCCTACCTCGCCACCTGGGTGGGGTTCTGGCTCCGGCTCCGTCCCCCTCTCTGGGGGACAAGGGGGGGTAGGCTGTGAGGGCTCCAAGCCCTGCTTCCCTCAAGTCCAGGGGCCGGGGGATGGGGTCACCAAGGGAGAGACAGCACAGCGCCGCGCTCTGTGCGCCAGGGGACAGGGGCACTCACAAGCACTCCCGACACACGCGGACACACACCGGGACACGCGTGCACCTGCAGACACACATCACACAGACGCGCGGGGGCGGTGTCCTGGCTGGAGGGGGGCTGGGCCTTAGCGCAGCGGCCTCACTTTTCACTCTGCCTTTTTGTTCCTTTTGAATTTCTTTTTCAATCAAATGACTGCGTTACTTTTCCTATTAAAAATGTTTTTAAAGAAGAACAGCGCTGTCTTTCTGGTCCGTGGAAACCACTGTGTGCGCGTGTGTGTGTCCACATCTGTGGACACGGAACACCACGGATTCTCGTGGCCCTGTTTCTCAGTCCCTCCGCCTCCGAGCCCGTCAGCGCTTCTAAGGAAATCCTTCCATTTGCCCAGCGAGCTGGGAAGTGCGCCCCTCAAACGTGGGGTCCCGCCTTTTCCGTGTGGGGAAAGCATTTCCTGGAGGCACTCAGAAACACGACCACTCCATCCAAGGTAGCGGGGGTGCAGCCGTGGGGGAGGGCGGACCCCTGTAAAGCAGGGCGCAGCCTCTGTGTTCATGTGGCCTTGCACTCGGCCGCCAGACGAGGAGTCACATCACGGTTCGCTCGCACTGGCCGGCCCTCTCCCAGCCACACAGCTTCCCCGAGTGGCTTCGGTCTCACTCAGAATCACAGAGGAACCCCCCTCCCATCCGTCTGAACGATCTGGCACGGAAAGACGGATCGGCATCCAGGGAACGGCGGGAGAATCACATCTCGCTCCAGGAACGCCCCAGCGCTGTCCTCTCTGCCATTCACTCGTTGTTGTTGTTTTTTTTTAATCTGTAAAATCCTTCCGGGGCACGCGGGCGGAGGGCACGGCTCGAAACACACTGTGGGAAGGGCACCCGGGGTCCTCGCTTAGGGTGTTTCAAAAGATTGAAAGATTGCAACATTTTCGTATGGATAGTGCATTTTTTTTTCATTTACCTAAAATGTTTGAAAATTAAAGTGTTTTGTTGAAGACTTTTTTAGGATGGGAAACCACCCGGCGGTGCCAATTTTGCACTTGATAATGAAAGCAAAGCCTTTTTAAACTTTAGGAAAAGAGCACACTGAGTTTGATGACCCCATTTGGAGTTCATCAGTGATAATCTGCTAGCCAATTTTTCCCTGATTCTGTTTAACCACGGGTAAGTTGGAAAAAGGCTCTAGAATAAAAAAGTGTAATTGATACTTGAGCGGTTTTGAATTCTAGGAAAATTCCCCCCAAATCAAATTGCTTTTATTTCATTATTTCTCTTTTCCTCACACCTGAGCATATACTGGGTTATAACGAATATCCCCATGAGTAAGACTAGGAAACACTTGCACAATATTTTATTTTAAATGATAAGAATGACTCTTTTCATTATTCAGATTACAGAAGGTAAACTTTTGATGTTATTTGCACAAATTTATCATGCTTCATGGTAAGCTGTGCCAAAATCTTTGCAGTTTGGTCCCCAAGGTTCTATTAATTGCAGAAATTCACCTGTTTTAACCCTGGATTGATGGTAACTGGGAAAACTATATGAATTCTGTTATCTGTCGGCTGGCTTTAGTTCTCTAAACAAAGGCTACTTAAAATCTGTTATTGATTAAATCTAGATGGAATTCACTTCTTCTGATACACAGAACACTGGGAAATTTATCAGCTTTTATTATTCCTCATCGAAATGAGCTCCTTGAGCTTTCTAATTATATTCTCTAATAAAACTAAACAGTCGATGCTATTTGCATATTATATGAAGAAGTGTCATACAACAAATTCATAGCAGTCAATTAACATAAAAGCTAATTATATATCTCATCATCATACAAGTTTCTGAATGTATGCTTACCCTGTGGTAGCCTAGAGCAAAGGAGGCTTGAATTTTCACTTCTAAATATTGACTTTTAACTAATATCAGAAGCGATCTCAGTATTTTTATGGGTGAAAAGTTAGTGATTAAGCTAGATGCACTATTTGCCAGAGCGCAATTAAAATTTCAACATTAGCTAAACCTCCAGAAGGAGAATCTTTGCAACATTGTGAAATCAATTATCAGTCACTAAGCAGGTTAAGTACTGGGTTCATGTCTGAGGAACACTCAAAGTGACGATAAAGAGGAGTGAGATTTATTCGAGATTGCCAGGCTGTTATGAAAAACACAGATAGAGCACAAGGCCATTTCCACGTCCAATCGTACGGCGTAACATAATTGTGTTCCTGCCTAATTGTGATAGCTATCAAGCAAGAAATTTGCTACAAGATTAACAGAGACACAATAATGAATGTGCACGGAGGCGCCCTGTGACTGACTTTGGGAAGGTGTCTGGAACAAACCCACGCTCTGGTGTTCTAGAAAACCGAAGCCAAAACTTCCAACGACTTTTTCCCCCGCTTTCAGGGCGGGATGTGGGTACTTCCTTCCACCCCGACTCTATTGCTCACACAATAAGCACAGGGTCAGAATAAGCCTAAAAGGAAGAAAAAAAAAAAGACACTCTATATACTTAGTAGGATTTAGAGTTGCAGGTGGGTTTCAAAATGGCAAAAGTTAGGATTGACTTTGCCCAGGGTGCTCTGAGATAGCGACAAAGTTAAGACGGATCGCTTTTATATGTAGCACGACTACCAAATGAGCGCCTGTGTAAAAGCAAAGGCTGATAAGAAAACTGTGTGCCAGTGAATCCGATTTCTCCAGATACAATGCAGGCGGCCTTTTGCATTCATATTGTAATGAGGTTAGTATCTCTGAGACATCCTTCCAGAGTGGGGGCTACTCTCCCCTAAGATTACAATAGGAATTGCTTTATTGACAAGTACTATTCAAAATCTCCCTCCTCTAGAAAGACTTTGTTTTACCTCACTTGTCTCTATATTTATAATCAAAACACTCGGAGGGGAGAAAAAGGCCCAATTATCCTACGAACAGTCTTTAAATTTACTGAAGGCAGCTCAGCTAAGTGGTATCATTGCAAACTCGACTCGTGTGCGTTTTAATAAATGTGGAAAGAGCTGCGATGCTTAGATAGCTTTAGAATCTTCTCACAAAGCCAGATGCTTTGATGGTGATTTTAAAATCTTTTATTTTTCATCTTCTGAAAACAGATCTCGTAAGTTCACGGTGGGTGTTTTCCCTTTACCTGTTTTTAGCAGAGATTGTGACGAAGCATTTTCTGAGCGATCTGCTGGCAAACATGTCCTACTATTAAAGAATGTTTACTCAAAAGAGCCAGTTAATGACCAAAAAAAAAAGCCCACTTGCCTTCAGACTCATAAAATCAACAAATTGATCTCTTGATATAACATATTTGTGTGAAAACACTACCATAGTCGTGTATTCAAATGTATACACTTTCAAATGTATACACTTTCAAAACTGAAAACAATATCCCATTCTTTGGAAAGTTTTAAAGTGGGGACTGTTCTAAAAAAAAAAAAAAGTGCCAGTCCAGGGAAACAAGTGAAAAGTCCCTCAAAAGTTGTGCAGGCCTTGGGGCCAGTAACATCTGATTTGCTCACGTGAGAGCTTGGGCCATTTCTGTAGGCGGCCAGGTGGGTGAAGGCAATTTTAAAAAACATTTTCGAGAGCGGTCTCGGGGTCTCTGGTCTACGGGAAAGGCTGCCATACATTAGGATCACTTGAGCCTGCTCCCAAAGCTCTCCCAGACCGCACCCCTGCCCTTCCTGGCTACCGCCTGCACCCTGTTTACTTTTCTGTTGTGGAAGGAGGGGGCGGGAGGGGATGGAGAGTGGATTTCTAGGTTTCAGTTAGATTTTTTAAGTGGAAGAGTGTACTCCTCACTATAAAGGAGAAGCCTGCCTTGCTAACATCCAGAAAGTACTATGAAGGTATCTCAAACGCTATCAGATAAGGAAATACACTTAAACCACCTGCGTGGCAGCAAAACAGTAATCATTCTAATGATCTGCTTGACTAACTGTAATTAAGAATTTACCTCTGTGTTTTATAACTTGCAGACCCAATAGATATTTAACCCTTAGCTCCTGGAGTTCCTCAGGACGGATTTTCTGTTTGCTTGTTAACCCCCGTATTGCTGTGTTTTTTGTTTGTTTGTTTGTTTGATCTTGTTTTTACAGCTTACAGGGCTTGATTGGCATAATTAAAAGTGTAAGTCAAACGCAACTTGTGTTTGGAACGCACTTCCAGCCACTGCCTTTAGGGTCTTTTCACTGTAGACAGGAAAAAAACACCCACTCGCCAGTTGTTAAAAGCGGGCTATTTTAGCGACTAGATAACCGTTGTGGCTTAATCCAGTTTGATAAACGGTTTAATTGCAAAAGTGAGCGCACGGGCCTTCAAAGAATCCGCCTCGAATGGAGTCCGGGGCGACGCGGCGATCCCAGCAGCGCGCGCATGGCGATGGTTTCCGTCGGCTCCCGCCTGCTCCGGGCCGCTCTTGGCCTGAGTGTCCCCGGGGGGCGCGGGGGACGCGGGGGGTCCCGGGGCTTCTGTTTGTTCTTGGGTTGCTTGGGTTCGTGGGGTCGCGGGGGCGTGGGGGTCGCGGGGGGTGCGGGGTTCCTTTGTGCGCCCGGAGCGCGCGCCTCGCCGCCGCGCGGTCGCCGGCACCGGAAGGGTTCACACTGCGCCTGAAAGGGGACAATGGAGGCCGGCTAGATCAACATCGCCGAGATCGAGTTCATTTGCGATTCAGCCCCTTTCACCACGGTTGTCACGCAAACTTCCTACTTTGATCAGCGGAGGGCGGAGAGGGAGAAAGCCCGCGGAGGCCCGGGTGCGGCGCGTCCGCGGCGCCCTTGGCGGGTCCCCGCCCCCTTCCGGAAGGAGCCGCGGGGACGCGGCATCCTGCACCTTGACCCGTCTAGACTGGCCCCGGGGTTTTGTGTCGGTTACCAGGGGCGAGGGGTGCTCTTTGACCCCCGCGCGGGGCGGAGGTGGTGGCCCGGGGCGGGGGGGGGGGCGCTCTGAATCCTCGCCGGATTCCGGAGGGACCGGGGCGCGCGGAGACGGGCGCCAGCTGTTCCCCGCGGCCGCGCCCGTGCCCGTCCCGCGCGCCCCGGTCCCCGCCTCCCCCGCAGCGGCCGGGGCGCAGGGCGGCGCCCCGGGGACCCTCGGCGAGGACGCGCGCCCGCGGGCGCAGCTGTCGGCTCGGTCCGGCCCGTCCGGAACGACGCGGCGCGCCGGGCCGGGTCTCTGCCTCCCTCCGAGTCCCCGTCTCGTGCTCTCCCTCCCCTCCCCCTCCCTCCCTCTCTCCGGCTGGTAAATAATCACAGCCATTTTCTGTCCTCCGTGCGCCTTCTGCATGCGCAATGACTTTGAAAAATGACGACCGGTACAAGTGCACTTTCTAGTTCGCAGAGTTTTCCCCCGTCCACATGCAAACATCCGCCCTTTTCCAAAAGCACAATTCCAGCTAACGTCTCACATTCTGTAGGTCATCTAACTGCATACACGCTGCATTGGGAAGGTCAGGCCGGCCGGCGCTCCTGGGGGGCGGGGGGGGGGGGCGCACGGTTCCAAACGCGTTCCCTGCAAGATCTGCCAAACCGCGTGAGCGCTGAGCCAGGTCCCCACACACCCCGGGGCCCCTCGGAGGCTTTCCCAGCAGACCTGTTGGACCAAGTACGAGAGCGGATGAACCAGTAAGAGCTCGAAGAAGACCCCGCACTAAGGAGGAGAAGTCTAAGAGATTTGCTCCGAGGAAAGGGAACAGAATATACAAAGAATTTTAAAAATCCTATTTTTCTCCTGATGCTTACAGACCTATGAAACTCGCGGTAAGAGCTCCCATTCTTCGCAGGTGAATCCCATGCTCCCTGAACACATTTTGGGTGTAGGCTTTCTCGCCGTTTGCTTGGGTTGCTGCTGAGTTTCCGGACCTTGAACATTAAAAGGGTATCTGTGCGCTCTGCTGTCCTGTGGCGGCTTCAGTGTTAACCATGCATTTGGGGGCTTGCTTTTGAGACACCTCTCCCGCGGTGCAGTTAAGCGGTATTTTTGCAGAAAGTGGTTACAGCTCCCAGCGACTTTCCGAGGAGGGGTGGAGGGGTGCGGGCTGCTCTGCTCCTGAGGGGCTCAGAGAGGGGTCTCGGTGCCCCCACCCCCACCCCCACCCCCGCCGAGGCAGGTCTATTACAGGTTCCCACAGAAGAAATCAGGGGTTGTGGCTCTAGGTTAAAATCCAAATTAAAATGAATGTCGTTTTCAAATATTTATAGCCAAATGATGGAGGAAAAGCGACACACATCCCCTTTTTTTCCCCTTCTACCCCATCAGGCTTCACAGAAGACAGAGAATTTCCTTCCTGAGTTAATTCAAGTATTTTAGCACAAAATAAGTTAAACAAAGGCTTAGGTATGATCGTTGGCTTAATGCCAAACTGCCGCCCCGAACAGTGTTTATTTTAGATGAATGCTAGATCGTGCCTGGCAAAACATATTCCAATATATTTCACTTTACTTAACGCTGTTGAATCAGACGAAGCGAGGGGAAAGCCTGTTTAAAAAATGTATTAAGTTCACACATTGGCCAAAATGTCAGGCATGCTGAAACCCCAAAATGGGGGCTTTCGCTGACTTCCAAAGATTTCATTTTAATTAAAAAGCAAATGCAATAACTCCGAGGCAAAAGTGCTGTGGAATAGGAATTGCAATGAGTACGTTTGCTTGTATGTCACAGGTTTTAAATAAACACATTACAGTGGAATTTAAATATTTTAAAATGCCATTTAAAAATTTTAAAGTCTTGCTTAATGAACTTGGACCATGCTTTGCAGGTCTCGAGCGAATGCCCTTCACGGTCCCGGAAGGTGTAACCTTGCGCGTCTTTAGCACAGACACATACTTAAGTCAGAATTTCAGTTGTTTTTTTTTTTAATGCCTGGGCACATTTGGGCTCCCTCTTCCCTGAAAAGTTAGACTCGGGGGTAGAAGCACAGTGCAATTGTCAATGGAGCTATAGACGGTTTGGAGAGAAATAGCCCAAGTCACTGTCAAGCATGTTATCCACAGTGAAATTGAGAATGTTTGTTTTGATTGCTGAGAAAGCTTAATTGTTTTCACACTCCAGCGTGGGTTTTAAAACCACAAAGTGGATTGTTATGTTAAATCTGAGGGAAACTGGTTTAACCATCTCCAGGAGCTGCTTTCTTTGAAGGATTCTAAAAACAAAAACAAAAAGAAAGCGAAGACCCCCAGCTCGACCTAGGAGACCCCTTTCTTCCTTCTCCTCGCATTCCAACTTCAGGAAGGGGAACAAATACAAAGAACTAGTTTCCTTCCTCACCCTCATCTTTCAACACGACTCATCAGTTAAGTCCCAGGAAAATGACACAGTTAACGTTTTGGGAAGAGGGCTCACCCGAGGCAATGATGACCTTAAAGCAGAGGGGCTGATAAAGACGGGCCACCTCGTGACACGATTTTTCTATTTTTAGCTAATGAAATGTTGGTAAGTCCTTCTAACCAGACGCCCCGTGCGTGCGTATCTTTCCACACACGTTGTTATTACATTTCCGCAGTGCGAAGCTCTGATAGAGAAGCATGAAGACGAAATACTCTCACTTATCGCCCAGGAGGCACACGACCTCGCTGACAAGCTGTGCAGTGAAAAAGCAGGTACTGTGTCTGATGTAACATGTGTCTCCTGCTCGCCCACCCCCTCAGCCAGCGCTGCAGCATCTTATTTTCCAACGGTCCTCGCTGTCTCCCCGCCACCCCCACGCGGCTCTCCACTGAATCAGAAAGACCCCATGTGAGAGAAAACAAATAAACAAAACCACCGCAGGGCTGGGTGGCTCTTCCTCTCCGGGTGGCATTTTCGAGGGCCTTCAGTCCTCCATTTCCAGATGTTAAAGAGCCCACAGGCCCGGCAGAATTGGACGGATCCAAAGCACTTTCTCTTTCGACACTGAGGTTGGATTCTCTCCCCCTCCCGGACCAGGAAGGAGAATCTCTTTAAGACTCGCCGGCTACCTAAACTGATAGCAGGCGGGATCTTTATTTAGTACGAGATTTGAAAAGCTTTTTTGTTTGTTGATTTGCGAGGGGTGCTGGATATTTCCCCCCCCCCAAGTTTCTTTCCCAGATATAGCTACTTCTTCTTAAAAAAATTTTTTTTTGTTTTCTAGCAGAGGATAGAAAATAACACTTGAGTTCAGTGCTTACACACACACACACACACACACACACACACACACACACACCCCACTCAGGGGCTAGGAAAAAATTACCAGCACTTTATTTATACAAAGTTGAAGCATGTTAGCTCCGCTGGCCTTTCCACCTGTTTGCTGGAGCATAAAGTCCTATATCAGCACGATGCTTATTTAATACTTTTACAAGAGTGGAGTGCAAGTTGTGTCCTCTTTTCAGGCTCTTTTGAGAAAATGAACCACGTGTATGAAGACAATGATATAAAGCCTGGGGAGTGCTTCTCTGCCCTTGCAGAAGCTTGAGATTTCTAGCAATTGTTTGTAACAAAGTATAACATGCCTTCGTCCACAGTATCAAATGTAGCGCCCACGTCTTTAAATAATAGTGATTGCCCATCTGTAGATAACTGTTTACGTGGCCAAAGGTTATTAAACAAGACAGTTGTAAATCCACAATAGCAGGAAGAAGTTTTCTTACTCTGAGTAGATAATGGGGTTGTTTTCATTTTAAAATCCAGTTTGGAAAAAATAATAAAGGAGACCCAGTTTGGTTGGGAGTTTGAAGACGAGTACGGTCGAATGATGCAGTCAGCCTCGCTCAGGAGCTGGAGAGCTGTCTCACTGAGCTCGTAATGTTGCATTTGTGAGGCTGTAACGTTGCATGAGCCTCCCATCTATAAGTGCATAGCCACGATTTACCAAAGAAAGTATTTTCCAAGTTTTGCAGACAGTTCAGAGATAGACGTGTGCTTGAAGATGCAAGCAAAAATGGGACGTAGGGTTTGGAAATAATCTGCTTTCCTAATTTTCCCTCACAAAGGGTTTGGACTTGTCATAACCATCTATGGCAAATGCAGCTAACTAGCTCTGTACACACCTGTTCAGACCTCACAGAAGGGCCCGAGAAAGTTTCCCCACCTCTTCGCGGCAGCTGGGTGCCCCCAAATAATGATGAGATTCAGGGGAAAGACTTCCTAAATGCAGCAGTTTGGCAGAATTTTGCTAGTATTAACTGTCTTTTCATTGCTTTTGCATATTGGTCACTGGAAATAAAAATCACTATTAGCCCGAGAAAGCGTGAGTATAAGGCATACCCTAAGATTGGCCCAGGACTGGGGGTGTAGAAGAAACCCTTAGCTTACCGATTCTTAATAGCATTTGATTGTTTAAAAGCCGGTGAAGTATTTCCACTGTAAAACGTCAGGCCCTCCGAGCTGCTGAGGGTGCCAGTGGCCAACGCCTCGTGGCCACAGCACAGCGGCGTGGAGCGCGCTTTCTCAGGCTTGCGTTTCCCTGTGAAACATACTTACGGCTGTGCTAAACCATTCGGAAATTAAAAACCGAGAACACGTTAATCCTAACAAGAGCCTAGACACCCCCCCTCCATTGAAGTAAATTAACGCCACGTAACAAGGTCGCTTTTTCACACTTAGAAATTATTGTCAGAAAACCTGAAGCCATGCATCAGGGAGGAAACTTGCCCTCGGTGACCACGGCGACAAAGAAGTTGTGTGTTTTCCTTTCACAGGTTGGGAGGGTTTCAGATTCCCGTGGAAAAGGTGACACTCTCGTATTGCCGAGAAACTCTGGCGCTGTTGCCCGACAACTTTGCTACGATCAAGCGCCATGATTTAACACGTTTTAAAGATGGGGCCGTGCATGTGGGTGTCTTCTGTGCTGGATGCCGTGAGGCCACATGAACCAGGGACGGTCACCCCATGGGTGCTAGGTACAAGGCACCGCCCTGGCGGCTGCTGAAATGTCTACACATTGCTTTTAGGGAGGTCATTTTTTTCAAAAATAGATATTTCTAGAACTAGACATTTACTCAGAAGGTCAGCCCCCTTTTATACTTCATACATACTTTGTGCACATGTGCGTGTGTGTGTGCACACGCGTGTGTCTTATGTGTCTGTATATAAATTTTGCTTTTTTCTATCAAGTGTAGATCATGTCACCTTATTTTTAATAATCACATAGGAGCAGATGAAGGCATTTGCAGATTTTAAAACCTCAGCTCTGTTGAGCTATGATTGACACATAAAATTGTAAGACATTTAAAGTGTGCATCGTGGTGATTTGATATGTGTGTACGTTGTGAAAGATTCCTCCCATCTAGTTAGTTAACGCTGGACTGTAACTCTTAGGACTGTACAGTTTCCTCTCTGTGCACAAACCGGTAATTGGGGGATCATGGAGAAAACGTATATTACATTAGAGATGACTGTGGATTTAAAAATAACACATCCTTGAGGTTTTCTTGAACATGTGTGCCGTCTCTCAAATGAATAAAGAAAACCTCAGACGACAGCATCGCAGCCGGGTCTGTGGGTACCTCTGCACCTCTATGCGCTGCATAAGATAAAAGTTATCAAGTACATCCGGCTCTCGGGGTGTGAGACAGAGTAGTAGGGCACCTGACATATATAATCTGTTGGGGGGGGGGGTTCCTAGGCAAAAAACAAAGAAAAGAAAAATGAGTTCATTTGATTTTCCTATTTTATGGCATATACGCTGGCCACATTGTCCTTTTAATGTCTTGAAGTCAAAATGATGTTTTAAAACCCTAAGAAGATAGAAGGTCATGATTAAAAGTGTAGCTGTATCCCACCGATGGCGGACAGCATACCATTCTGGACGATGAATGAATGGATCCTCTCAGGTTCGTGGAAGTTCTCATTAGCCGGAGCGTGAGGGCAGGGATGGAAATACGTGAATATAGACTGTGCACGTATCACTTCTGCTCTGCTGTTAAATCTTAACATTTAAAACGTGAGACTGAGGAATCTGACGTGCGATCCTTTTGAACGCACCGTATGGAACAGGGCCCCAAGTATCTTGGATCGTTCAGCTTACATTGAAAGTAAAAGCATTTGTACCTTCTTGTGTAACGCTAACGGCGGTGTTGAATTATCGTATACAAAATGATTCCTTTCAAAGGCTAGCCTATTTCCTATCTGAAATAATGTAGTGAAAAGAATCGTAGCCTTTCTGAAGAGAGCTGGCATTAATTGTTTCCAGCTGGAAAAGTAGAGCGTCTCAAAGCACCTCCTTGCCTCTCTGCTCCTTGGGTTAAATGCCAAGCATGCTGTGTCTCTGTTTAAGGCATTTCTTAACCACCCCCAAGGCCATGGGCCAAAGGACACGATCCCTGGGCTTTGGTTGTAAAAATACTCCCGCAAAAGACGCTGGAGGATGGAGACCAGGGCAACAGAGCACTGAGAGGTGTGGGGGCCCGCTTTGGGGCACAGGGGCGCAGATGATGCCCTTATCTCTGCTCTTGTGTGTATTTGAAATTTTCCATAAGAAAAAAGCTTTTAAAATATGCTTCCCCAAACACTGTGTTTCTTGCGGGAGGTCCATGACTTGGGCGCTGTTATTAAATGTGATGGTGATGCTGTGTGGCGTTTTTGTCAGGTCTCTGTGAATCCTCCGCCGATGTCACTGAGCTCTGGGACGGCGCCCCTCCCGGTTCCTGAGGAGGAAAGTCACGCCCGCAGGTCCACACCCGTGTTCATACCTTCATGTTTCTTCACGAAAACAAAGTTGATGACTCGTGTTTATACTGTGTTGTCGCACGTATGATGTTGTGTTGAATATCTATTGTTTGGCATCGGGACAGACCTGATTCTTCCCGTAGGGAAAACTGAGGGGCGTGTAAAACAAATTACCTTTGTGGATTCAGGTACAGACAGGGTCGGGACTGGAGCGTTTTCAGTTACCAGTAAGGAAAACCCAAAGCCATTTCATAAATGAAATAAGGATTTGATAACATACACTGTGTATCTTATGAGCGTCTACAAGTATGATGTTCTCTTTGATAAGAAAGCATGATTTGATTTCTCAAAAACGTGATTGGTCATGAGATTAAGAAAATATATTGCCACAAATTCCAGATGATGTCTTCTGGGTTTTATACGGTGATCAATTAAAGAAACAAACTTCCTTTCCATCAGGAAGGAAGTTCAGATTCCCAGAAACCTTAAGTTTAAAAACGTATTAATCTCTAAAATGGAATGGAATGTGTACAAAATAATACTTTCCTAGCAAGCAGCATGGTGGCCTTTCTTCCTCATAACCTTAATTCGGATGAGTCAGAAAGTCACTTAATTATTATCTTGTGTGTTCTTCCAAGATGACACCAATGGCCGTGGTTGGTTTTGCCATAAACTCGAGTGTGTGTGTGTGCGTTTTTAAAAAACTTTGAGCTAACATTTAGTGTGTGTGTGTTCCCATTAGTTAATCTATCATTCTCCCGGTTGGGTGTTTTTGTAGGTATGGGGATAGAAGGGAAGTGGGACCGTGTGAGAAATTACTTTGGGACCACACTTAATATCAGAATGTAGTCATCATATTAGTCTTGGATATTTCATCGTCTTTGTTAAATTTACATTCAGTGGCATCTGACTTTAATTCTTTACAATGTCGGGGCGTTTTCTAGAACTTATTTTTAAGAAGAAATGCTCCTTGTTGGTGGCGAGAATTTACTAGGTAGGATGATAGAGATTCGCCCCCCAGCCAGCAGACACTGTCCGCCGTGTGGTACGTAACTGCCTGGAAATCACACTGTTCCAACCACTCAGCTGAGGCTTTGGGAAGAGACGCTTCTGAAATTCAGGAAAATTCACCAAAATTAAGAGGAAGCCGTTTCCACTTTTCTCCTTCTTCTGCCCCACTTCTTTTCCAAAGTTAACACCACTTATCTATTTGGGGGGACTGAAAGCCATGTGGTTTGTGGGAGTGTCTGTAGCTGGTTGATGAGCCTGGACCCTCCATACCCGTAGCCCAGTGAGCCTGCACCGCAGCCGACATGAAATGGAAACAGGATCTCAGAATAATTCGCACCCTATTTCAGTCCAGTAGTGAAATTGTTATTTAAAACACAGTCCCTACGTCTTTATGGAAACCTATCTATTTAAGATTCATTCAGCCTTCCAGACAGTCATAAACATTTCCCTAACGTGGGCCTTGTTGGTTAAGTGCACTGCCCAGGGAGGGACGCGATTCCTTGCTGGGAACACGGAGGAGGCTTGACGGCAACTTCCCAGGGAAACTGGGCCTCCGTGACCGCGCAGGCGTTATCTCCACCTCCTCGCTCTCTCCCGGGCAATCGTTACAGATTCTCAGATACGGGAATGGCGCCTTCAGGAGAACCGGGGCTCCTTTTACAGCCCACACGAATGCAAGAGGCGCCTTCTCTCCCCAGTGGGCGTTCCTCGTGGATGTGGCTGCTTCTGCTTTGACTGGAGCGAACCGCCCACCTTGCCTCTGATAGCAGACATCTAAGGTTTCCCCGAATATGGCTTTTCAGTTTTTTCCTTATTTCCCAGTAAACATAGGCTTGTGAGACAATTACAAGATTTTTGATATCCTTCGACTTATATATGCTTTTTCCTTCCAGAAATTTTTTCCAGATCCAACTTGTTACACTCGTGTAAGTACTTTAGCTTTGCTTAAGTTGCTGGTTGAACGTACATGTGAGGGGTAGACAAAAACCGCTGTATCTTAGGGCTCCCGATGTCCTGGGTTCCCTGTGGGGCGGGCCAGGTTCTGCGGCACTCGCTAATGAACGTAATGACATAGAGCAGTCAGTGGGTCGCTCTCTCTCTGAATCACATTCCTGGCTTTTTAATGAGGTTTATTGATCAAAACCAAACAAAGCCAAAAGCCTGGGGTGGGGGGAAGAGTCAGCACCCAGAGTATGGCACAAAAGTTTCCCGGAGCCCATGAAAAGCAACCTAATTCTAGGTCAGGGAAATTCCTGGAGGGGAAAAAAAAAGTGGGGGGTGGGGCTTGTGATGCTCATTAAAATACTGGGGGGGGGGAGTGGACGTGTTTGAGGCAGGGGTTTCGAGTTGTGTTTTGATGAGACTGGCTCTTTGGGTGTCCGTGGAAGACCCAGTGAGCCTGCTTTCATAAAGAGAAACCGAGTTGGCTAAGATGAGCAGTTTACATTTTGTTACACAGATTCCTATTTGCTAAGAAGAAGCCAAGGCCAATGAATCCATTTCACTGAGGAGTGAAAAGTGGAGGGAGCCAAAGTCCCAAATGGGAGAGATCAATACTTTATTTACTAAGACAAGCCCTCAAAAAATAGAGTCAATAGCTGGTTATATTTATTTGTTCTACCTATTTCTCTGCTTAGGTTGGTCTTTATTCACATAGGTAATAGCTTTATCCAAATAAAAAATTTTAAACTTTCAACCTTACATTTCAGATTATAATGGAATATGAGAAAAAGCCATTCTTTGATGTGATTTTGTGGCGCGTGTTAAAATTTGGCACAAAATCGTGAGCTACTCTTAAATCTGGAAGCCCGCTCAATGGCGTCTTGCGTCGTCTTCCACCACAATGCAACTGGCAGTGATAATAAATTGTCACGATACCTGTCACATACGAGTGTGTGTTCTGTTCTGCCCCGATACAGTCCTCACTTTCCGCAGAGTATCTGCGTTTAGGGCAAGAAGCAACATGCATAAAAGATCGAATGAGGTAAATAAAATTGAAATACGAAATCAGAGACATTCATTGCCCTTAAGTCACCTCAGAAAAGGTTCAACAGATGACAATGTCATCTCTGGACTTGTTCCTTCTGTCCCTTGCCCTGAACGTGGATTTACTGAGGAAGAACGACCCACTCATTGTGTCTGTTCTCAGGATCTGCCCTTCTTGAAAGAGATGGTGATTAATTACATTGACTGTCATATCAGCTCATTTGTCTGGAGGGACGTTACCTAAAAGATATCCAGCTTGGCTTCCTGGGGACAGTCTGTGGAAGTGGAGTCTATGACATCTCAGAGCTGTGCATCCTTCTGGGTTCTCAGAGGGTTCAGAGAGGAAACACAGAGGCAGGCATACAAGCCCGCACACGGGAATGACGTCTGGCCGCAGGGAAGCCAGCTGAAGCTGGGATTGCTCCAAGGTGGAGATCTCAGAGGAGAACGTGTCTAGAAATTTCTGTAATTCCTGAAGGAAAAAACAATCATTCCTGTGCTCCTTAATCGTGATGTTTAAGATTTCCAAGATAGAAAAGAAAAAAAAAAAAAAACCTAACTTAAAGCACATATAGAAAATATTCTATCTCAGGACAGCAAGATATTTACAAAACACATTCCATCTGTTAAGAAGCTCTTGGAAAACAAGCTGTGAGGTTACACCGGAAATAAATCGGAATTGAAATATGACTCATTATTATGGAACGTGGATTTTATCGGACCAACCATGGGTCAAAATTGTATCCCCCAAAACAATAGCACAAAGTAGAAGCCAGTACAGTGAGGTGAGGGATTAAATAGGCTAGAGGGCGCCGGGTGCCAAACCACAGTGTAAGCTGAACCACACACTTAGTTGAGCTAAGATACCACTCAGGGCGCACACGCCTTCCCTCGGAGAGGACAGACACCCCAGGAACTTCCTCCTCCTCTCGGGAATGTTAACAACCCAATATCTAAGGAATGCAAGTTCCATAACGGCACGTTGGATGCCCAGGGTCACCTAATTAAGCCTGGCTGCGACTCGGAATGATCCCGTGAGTGGTAAGTTAAAATATTAATACCGATTTCGAACTTCACGACCAGCGAGGCTGGCACTTGAGGAGGTAGAATGTATTCCTGACATTTTAGATTAAGGGTTTGCCTCAAAGCCACTTTCTGAACAAGTGGGAATTTCTCTACAGCGTATTCTCTGATACCGGCCGATAAAGGGTGAAGATAATCTTTGAGGTGACACCATTGTCAAAAGGGAGGGAGAAGATTTCAGTCAGGTGGTTTTCATTGTCTGTAGAAACGATCTTTATGGCTTCGTTGTTCTTCATCAAAGGGCACTGATTAAGCACCTTCATGCCCTGTGGTTTGTAGAAGAAAGCACAGAACCAAAAAATAGACTATTTGGTCCCCATTAAAAATGGACCCTATTTAAAGCAACATGGTATTAAAACAGAGTGAGGTCTGATACAAATGCAGGTTCAATAAGTGTTATTAAATTATTAGACCTTAAGGTGAAAATATGCCCTTGAATTGCCTTTGTATGCAATCAGAGGTGTGATTAAATATTAATGCCCTAAGATTAAAGGGTCACTGGAGTGACTTTTTTTTTTTTTTTTTAAGCAATACCCCAAATGGCGAACAGGAGACGTGAATCAGCTGCGTTGTGCGTACTTTGTGGCCGCCGAAACCTGGACCCGCTTCCAGAGCTTCCCAGACTGGAAAGCGCCGGGCTGTGGCTCAGCTCTGCCTGGCTGAGCCCCCGTGATCCTTCCTCACGGAGCCATAGGAGCTCGGTGGCCCTGTGTCCCTGGACCAGGGCTGTCACCGGTCCCTTCTGCAGAAAGACAGGCTCTGTTTGGAAGAGCTGAAAAAGGCCGGTGACTTTCCACCTACTGGGTATGGCACTTGGAATTGCACGGAGAGAAAGGGATACATTCATACATGTAAATGTATACATTTTAAGAAACGCTTTTCCTTCTACTCAACGACTGTCA